AAAATCTGTCTTATTTAGATATCACTATATTGTAACCGGGTTTTCTTGGCTTTATCCATTACTTTAAACAGATGACACCAAGACGGCTACGGGGTGTGAGGATTATGTTTATTTATAATCAGGATAGACACCCTTTTGTGGTGATCTATGAATACTCCCAGTGCAGTGCATAGTGAAGGTGGCAATATGGAGTTAGTCAGAGAAAGAAGGTAAAGTTTGAATTTGGCCAATCACAGGGTCGCTTGGGATGTCATTGATCAGTAGAGGGCTGGACAAAGAATGTGGTAGAGCTTGGGTTGTGATTGATCACTGAGGGCTGGACTTACAATGATGGGATAAAAACAAACACACCTCTGTTGAATATAGTTCAACAGAAATAAAACTTGAAAAAGTTTTATTTACAAACAAAGCTAAAATACAAATATATACACCTGCTACAATATTTCATCAACAACCAGACCTGTTCCACACGGTGTTAGCGTTGGGCGTCTCAACGTGCGTGGTTCCCGTGCTCCCTTTCGAGTTGAGCTGATTGGTTCAACTGTGTCATATGGCCCTGGGACGCGGGGGTAGCATTATGCAGATAGCTGTTTCAATGAATGCTCGTTCCACCCGTGACGAACAGGTCTGGTTGTTGATAAAATATAGTGATAGCTAAATAGACAGATTTTTTATTCATGCACCGATTTTCTTTAAAAGAAATATCCAGTTATGTATGACTGTTTAATAATCTCTTACCAACTTTGACTGCAGTAGGTCCGATAGTTTTTCAGACATTGTAGTAAACGTCCGTACCTTAAATTACCTTCCAAACTATATAGGGATGTAATCATGGTGGACACCTGCTGGATATCTCAATGTCTAGTCTACTTTCTGTGTTAAAATCAAACCTTTGCCCTTACGTGTATAGAGTAAAACATAGGTAACACAATCATGAACTGTCACATAATATAAAATCTATACGTGTGTATGTGCAATGGCATCTAAATATTTGACTTACCTCTATTACAACGTGGAGCTCTCTTCTCTGAAGTCGCCTGTCGCGTGAGGTAGATCACGTGATCTGGTTTGTGCAGGTATGTCCTTGTATCACATTAGAAGCAACTTTGTACGACTCTCTTCAGATCTGTACCATCAAGCCAACACTCCAGGATGCAAGAGATTCTTTTTACAGTTTGACCATTAGGCATTTATCTGAAATAATGTATGCAATCTCTTTTGTTATTATAATCAAACGTGAAATTCTACAAGGTGTAGTTTTCGAGAGAATGTATTGTAACACAGGGAGGAGTTGTCCCCCTTAGACCATAATATTGCATATTCAGCTTGGTTGCCGCTCATGACCCTTAGGAGGTTTTTCCATTTTAGGGCGGTGGGGTAGAGATAGAGATAAAAGCCTTCGCTAATCACAACAAAGACCCGGGTTCGATTCCCAACATGGGTATAATGTGTGACGCTTATTTACAGACCGCCGTCATATAGCTGGAATATTGCTGAGTGCGGCGTTAAACAACAAACAAACAAAAATCATTTCTGGTGTCCCCCGCCGTGATATTGATGGAATATTACAAAAAGCAGTGTAAAACCATACTCACTCAATATCCGGTTTTTTTGTTAGAATAGGTGTTCAGAAACCCATGCTTGCGACTAACGGGATCGGGTGGTCAGGCTCGGTGACTTGGTTGATGCATGTCATCGCATCCCAATTGCGTAGATCGGTGCTCATAATGTCAATCACTGGATAAAAGAGATATAAGAGATAAAAGCGTTCGCTCGTCATGTCAAAGATTCCCAACATGGGTATAATGTGTGACGCTTATTTACAGACCGCCGTCATATAGCTTGATTATTGCCGAGTGCGGCGTTAAACAACAAACAAACAAACAATATCCATTTTAAAAGTAATATGGCCGCAGAATATGAAAAGGACTCTCAGATGTCAGGGGAGCTGAAACAAAATCAGAGAGAAGGCGGCAGGGACAAAGATGCCTGAAATCATAGATGCGTTGAGGAAGAGTGCTATTGATGATGAGTTGTAGCCAGTAGCCTCCCGGGGAAAACCGCTGCCCAAATTGCCTATCAAAGAAAAGACTTGTGCTATCCAAGGTAAGGCAAACGTCAGAAAGCTGAAAATTATGAGTGGATAGAATCGTTAGCACAAGACCTGGAGGTGAAGTTTCTCGATTCCGGAGATGGTATAAACTTGACCTTGGTAGTTCAAAAGGGGACGGTGATAACTTCACATTAGAGATGTGGACATACGCCAGTATAGGCGTCATGAAAGATGATTACTGACAAAGGAGTGGATATATCTGGAACACTGAACTGTCTGAATGACATCCTAGATGTAAGTCGCCTTGCATTGAAATACGTATGGGGAGATATACTGGTCTATGACAGGAGTACAGAGAAACTAAGAATCATAGGTCGGCATGTTTAAACCGGAAGCAAACAGAACTGCAGATAAAGGAAGAATTAATGTTAGGGAATTATGGGATTGCCACATCTAAACCTAGAGTTGCTAGTGTGTTTGTTGCTATCCCGAAGACTGACAGCAAGATAAGACTCACTCCACGATGAGAGTTTCCGCGGGAAAAGATATGAATTATTACATGGTAAAGTGTGAGTGCTCATACTTGGACTTAAGGGACGGTAAAAAGTGGATCACCCAGGTAGTTTCCTCGCAAAGGTTGACCTCAAGGGTGGTTCAGATCAATACGACTGCACCCAAGTAACCATGATCAGAGTTGTGCTGTACTGCCTGTACTTGTAGCATAAAAAGCTACCTTTTGCTGCAGCAAAGAGCCCTAAGATATTTCAAACCTTCAGTTCGACAGTGTGTTGCCTAACGAAAGTGTGGTATAACGTGAGGCTTTATAGCCCACAAAGAGACTGATTGTGTACAGTTCAGTCGAAGAATGTGCAGGAGTTCTGGCTAAGTTGATTTCTGTGTTGCAGATGATGTCTTGCCGACTTGAGGGACACTAAAAGTTGATCACCCCAGGCAGTTTCCTCGCAAAGGTTGACCTCATAGTTGCGTACTGATCTTTATTACTTGCCAGATCAACAGTGAAGAGATCATCGGTTTAATAAAAATACACCCGAATCACACATTATGTAAGACCAAAGCGCGTGTTAATGCAGGAAGAAGTTTCACTAACAAATATTGAAATCTCTCAACATCCCAGGGTTTATTCAACGACAACGAACCAAGTCAGCGACCCTGACCACCCGATCCCCTTAGTCGCCTCTTTCATACCCATTGGAATATGATAACATACCCATAGTAATATGATAACATACCATAGGAAAGAAGCCCATCTATAAAAGGTACCATACACCGAATATTAACAGGAATCGAATCCTTCGGCAGAGAAGCTCCACATGCTTCCATTGCCAATAGCTTGCGTTTGCTACACCTTTGAATATAATGACGATATACATTACTCCTCCTGAATCTAACATCTTGGATCTGCCGCCCGGTAAACCCTTTTTAAAACACCCAACTAGCTCCCCCCTTTCTGAAAGTATGACCTGTCAATACGTCACTCACGTCCCTTTCCTGTAAAATATGATTTACAACTCCAATAAAAATGTCATAAGACAAGGCGTTATATTGCTTATCACACACTAGTTGTATTATTAGCTGCACGTGTTCATGTTACAGGAACAAGGTCCGCATGACATCTTATCCCAGTTGAGTAGATAGATGTTCATGATGTCAATCACTGGAGTGTCTTGTCCAGATTCGATTATTTACAAACCACCCTCATATAGCTGGAATATTCTGAGTGCGGCGTTAAACAGCAAACTCAAAACACACTATATTTGTTGGATGTTTTGTTATATCATCAAATCATCCTCCTCAGCCAAATTTGAGTTGTACAATGGATAATGCCATCAAGTCATTTTGCATATGAGCATGTCCGCGTTGTATTTTTCGTATTACAGCTAAAGAAAGGGCAACACCCTATTTGTGCCACAATATACCAACACCCAAGTCGGACTAAAACATTCCATGTACCCCACTTAGTTCACATAGGGAAAATATAACTGTTATTAATTCGGACCAAGTACGATACACGGGTATACATTTTCTCCTGAAATGTTTTTTAAATATTAAACAGCTCCGTGTAATACCAATTTTATGAAACTCGTGAATAGTTGTGGTATCTGACGAGGGAAAGCGAGTCAGACACCACAACTATTCACTCGTGTCATAAAATTGGTTTTACACGGGGCGAATTTAGTATTTTATTTATTACTTGCCATTTATAACGTTTTTAGAATGATACTGTCGAGTGTGAATGGGATGACACTTACACGATCCACGGCATAATACAATTGAGTTTAACAGAATAATACTTCAAACACGTCAAAAGTTGAAACCTATGAATTTAAAACCATACAACGGTCCATCTTTAGAATTCAGGGGTCCGTTCCACAAAATCATCGTAGCGTTAAGGTTATCGCAACTCACATACTTAACTTAGACCAACGACTGTCGTTGCGCTACAGTACGATCGCTTTGTTGAACGGGGCCTTGCACCTCAAAGTTTACAATCACGTCACAATACCCGATGACGTAATTTCATCGAGTGTGCATAAGCTCCTCTCAGTGATCTTTCATCTCCACACGCAATGTCGTTGAATAAGCCAAGGTTGTGAGCTTTCAATATTTTTCGTGAAACGTGTTCTGAGAGTACATAAGCACGCGTTTTGGTATTACACAATGTGCAATACAGCAGTATGTTTATTAAACCGATGATCTCTTCACGGGCAAGTAATCAACATATTCATTACTTAGGGGAAAACGTGAAATGGTATCATGATACTGTGTGGTATTTGAGGTTCAGGGCGACTTACGTAAAACATAATTAACAAGAGTCGTGATGTTCCACAGATATACATGCAATGGGGCGCCGTGTTGTCACGTAAACTCCTGTCTCACTGTCTTGTAATAATGTCACATTCTGGGACGTTGGGGATGATGCATTCATATACATGTTGTATGATTCTGTCTATAACATGTGCCTATATACTTCACTAAACTATCGGTTTGGCTTCAGATGGCGACCGCTAATAAGCTAACAGAGAACCACCTCACCTGTGTCATCTGTTCTGAGGTGTTCACAGACCCAGCCACACTTCAGTGTCATCATACATTCTGTAAGTCTTGTCTGCTGAACTACACCAAGACACAGCCGGAAGCAGTACAAGCCAGGTCCATCCCATGTCCCTCCTGTAGACAACAGACGAGTGTGACCAACCCTGACAGTCCAGTAGAGGAGTGGGTCAGTCAGCTGAAACCAAGCCACGTCATACAGGGGCTGATAGACGACTTTGGACCCGGCACAAAGGGTAATCAGCTCATTATTACTGCCTGACTAATATACCTTTTTAAAGGGTTTTTAAACAACCACACATGTGTGCATTGACGAGCATTCACTCACAGAATTGCTTATTTTTACTTCATGTTAATAGATTTTGATGCACTGCAGGATAAATATTTTTTTCTTGCAAAGGCAAATAAATTACATTCTTTTTGCGTCAAAGAGCTTCTGGTGAACTCAAATACCTATTGCCATAATTTTATGAAATCAACATGAATTTTATGACCTACCCCTACCAAGTCGTCATTCCTTTTTGTTATATAATTGTCAGTTATTAATACAATCTGTATGACAAGCTAGCATATAAATGTCACAATTTGTGTTTGCTTATCCTGATTGGGGGCTGCAATATATGCCACAGCTAGGACGGGTTGTGTTGACAGAACTGTGGGTTTGATCTTTATCGCCCTCCACTGTAACATGCCACAGCTAGCACAGGGTTGTGTTGACAGAACTGTGGGGTGGATCTTAGTCGCCCTCCACTGTGACATGCCACAGCTAGGACGGGATGTGTTGACAGAACTGTGGGGTTGATCTTAGTCGCCATCCACTGTGACATGCCACAGCTAGGACGGGATGTGTTGACAGAACTGTGGTGTGGATCCTAGTCGCCCTCCACTGTGACATGCCACAGCTAGGACGGGATGTGTTGACAGAACTGTGGGGTTGATCTTAGTCGCCCTCCACTGTGACATGCCACAGCTAGGACGGGTTGTGTTGACAGAACTGTGGGGTTGATCTTAGTCGCCCTCCACTGTGACATGCCACAGCCAGCACAGTGATGTGTTGACAGAACTGTGGGGTTGATCTTAGTCGCCCTCAACTGTGACCTTCCACAGCTATGACGGGATGTGTTGACAGAACTTTAGGGTTGATCTTAGTCGCCCTCCACTGTGACATGCCACAGCTAGCACAGGGATGTGTTGACAGAACTGTGGGGTTGATCTTTGTTGACCTCCACTGTGACATGCCACAGCTAGCACAGGGATGTGTTGACGGAACTGTGGGGTTGATCTTTGTCGCCCTCCACTGTGACATGCCACAGCTTGCACAGTGATGTGTTGACAGAACTGTGGGGTTGATCTTTGTCTCCCTCCACTGTGACATGCCACAGGTAGCTCAGGGATGTGTTGACAGAAGTGTGGAGTTGATCTTAGTCGCCCTCCATCTTGTGGTTATGATTACCTGTAGGTCATGATTGACTAGGGAGTGCTACATTGTGAGACAGCATCATTGTTTCTTTACAACCTGTGTCATATGATATGTTCATCTCCAGAAAGGGCATAGCCGTTTGTGACAAAACTAATGTGTTACATGTTATTATTTCTTTAGATGGTGTGTGATTCTTATCATGCTTTTTGACAAATGAAATTAAACACACTTGTTTTTGTAGGTGTGGAAGAACACTTGTGCAGCGTTTGTACAAAACAAGGAAAGACAACTCCAGCCATTTCTGGGTGCTCTGTCTGCGATGTTGTGTACTGTGAAGGATGTCTCCAGATGCACAACATGATGCAGGGGTTGTGTGACCATGAAGCTGCTCACTTGTCTGATCACACCAAAACAAAGGTCAAGCGTCGCTTCATGTGTCCAGTCCACAGAGATGAAAAGGTGAAGTTGTTCTGTAAAGACTGCAAGCAGGCAATATGCACGATATGCTGCAGTATAAAACACAGGGCATGTAAGGATGTTGATACAATAGAGAGTATGACTCCTCTTGTGAAGGAACAACTGATAAGCAAAATAGGGCAACTCAGAATCAACATGGCGGCTACGAATAATAACATAACCTCTAGAAAATCGACAATTCAAGATGTGAAGAGTAATTCACAAACCCTCAAAGATCAAGTCATAAAGACACGGAAAACAGTGATGCATGCTATTTTAAGAAAAGAGAAGCAACTACTTGGAGAGATCGACAAGGTTACTGATCAACAATTACATGAATTACAAGCAGATATAAAATCCCAGGAGATCGAGCTACAGATGTACCAGCAGCAGTATGAGTTCACAGCCAATGCTGTGACGTCCAACTGTGAGATGGACATGTATGCCGTCTATGATTCGGTGGGGGAGACGTCTACAGACAACAGAGACACGGACAACAGACCAGCAGCAGGAAGGGTTGTATTCACACACGACCTGGACAAGCTGAGTAAAGCAGTTGATGAGCTACAGTTGGGGGAGGTTCAAGTCGTCCATGATGTGAGTGACCCTAAGTCTTCTCCTGTTCTACATCACACCATTGATTGCAAGGAAGATGGGGACGTGAAGAATCCTTGCTTGTATGACGTCACAGTGTTGATTGTTGATGGCATGAAAGTGATGGTAGTTGCAGATAGCAGTAACAAGAGACTCAAAACATATTACACATCAAACTTCAAATCCTTTCATAATCAGCTTCTGCTTTCTAATGGTCCTTGGCAAATAGCAAAGTTAAGTGAGAGTCAGATTGCTGTCAGTGTTCCAGTCAGTCAGGAAATAGTTACAGTGAAATTTACCCCAGATCCTGTATTACTGTCAACTATCAAAACAAGCAAGGAGTACTACGCTCTGGCCTGTCTGAGTCCTTCACAGCTGGCGGTAGGTACATATAGACAGTTTCACTCTGTGGACATACTGGACATGACAGGGAGGAGACTGAGGTCTATCAACACGGGGGTGATAGATAATCCAGACTACATCCGTGTCACCAGTAGCAACAACTTGCTAGTCAGTGAAGGAATATTAAAATCCCTTGTATGTGTGACCAGTGAAGGAGACGCTGTTTTCACATACAAACCCCGAGGAAACAGAGCTTTGACATGGCTTTTGGGTATCACAACCAGCACAGGAGTCAGAGCTCTGTCATATCCTTGGGGCATCACATCAACCAGCACAGGAGACATCCTGCTTGTAGACCAATACTCCCACGGGGTGATTCAGCTGACAAAGTCGGGACAGTTTGTCAGAGATGTCCTCACACAAGAAGACGGTCTGAAAGATCCTCGTGGTGCCTGTCTTGATACTGACGGCCTGCTGTATGTTACGTCTGGGAGATATGTAAAAGTATTCAAATTCTGCCGGCGCTGAATGTGGAAATAGAGATCTTTATACACAGTTGAATCTTTCAAAAGTTGACTGCTGCTTTAGGTCCAGATCGGATCCAGTTCTTCCCTTACACACGTAGTCCATCATGTCATTGATTAAATATAGGGGACCTAGCACCAGTAGAAGTCTGACCTGAAAGAAGTACTTCTCAAGTACATTTGTGAAAGGAACGCACAATGACAGCACTGAATGAGGACAACACTACACGAGAGATCACGTGACCTAGACAGATGATATTGGACAGTATTGTTGTTATATGTTGTTCATGGAACAGTAATGTTGTGTTGTGTAGTGTACTATATATCTGACGTGTGTCGTCATAGAGAAACCTGTTCACATAATTGCGCATGCTATCAGTCTTTAGATTATCAGTTCGACAACCCATCTCCTAATGTTTTAAAGGGGCGCTCTTATAAAATACCACTAGCGTTCAGTGATCTACAGCAGATATAATAATGTGTGGATGCTGTGAGAACTGGTTGAGTTCTGTAAATGTACTAATTTGTATCAGTTATTTCCACAATCTGTGGTATTGAGAAGAGTATAATAGTAACAAGATTCAACTCAATTCGGACAATATACTCCCTCAGTCATATCCCAGACACATAGGAGATAAGGAAATCTTTGCCGTAGCGATGTTCAAGGAAAACAATGCTATACACCCATGCAGGTGAAATTGTATTCATGGTTTACAAGGGACAGGGTGTGGTTTGACAGGTGATCAAAGGGACACAACTCTGTGCAGAGATATGTATCTCTTTATGCTCTTAATATGCTCTTCAGGAGCCTGGGAATATTCATAAATCTTTAATTTGTCCTGAGGTTTTACAAAAGCAATTATTTGCTCACTGGACATGTTTGATCTTCTGAACAAAATGCGTCATAAAAAGTTATTGTTCGGCTGCTACTTTCATACAAACAAGTTTGGTGTTCTATAGCAATGACTGAAAACATATATGGGAACAGAAATCCCATGTGTAAAGTGTAAACGTTGTTTATTCTGGCGAACAGTTACTGCTTGATCGCTCACCCAAGTTAATCACGTTAATACGTGGCATCACAACTACTAAATGATTATACATATATGTTTAAATAGTCTTTACATATACTAGTATATAATCAGTTTGCCTTTATTGCATATGCAGGAAACTAGGATATCAGCTAAGTAAGGATGGATGAACAACTTCTATATTACTTCGTACCCCAACTTCTAAATGCCTCTCAAAGAAGTCATGATATCAGCTGACGATTTTGCATTTTGTCAGAAACAAGTGTGAGCAAGTAGCATTGAACCTGTCACAAGAGCGGAGTTAACAGCACACACAACAAAATGCAAGCAAGAGTGTGTCATCAACTTATATTTTTTCATTAATCTTTATATTTCTAATAACATGACATGTTATAGGTATGGAGTCAGTTATTTTTTTTTACAATAGGAATGAGTGACATATTTCATCCATCGTTGTGTAATTCAATAGTTCCCGATACACTTGTAATTGCTAAACGTGTTGAGATCTGTATATAATAGTCTAATGCACAGTCAAACATTTTTAAGGGTAGAAGTTGCAAAAGATTTGTCATTTCACACTTTTTGACTGGTTGTAAATCATGTTGTTAGATTGACAGGTGGCGATAGGTTAATTGATAGAAATACTAATATCACTTTTGTGGCTAATTTAATTGATTGGATAATTTGCCTTAATCTATATCCGTATGTCATTTTTATTAATAAAACTACTTTACTTTACTTTTCTGAGACAAGAATAGTTCAGTGTTTGAAACAGAATGTATCAATAAAAACACAGATGCTTTTATCAAAGCTCTAAGGTTTATTCATGTTTTACTCATTCAGTGTACCAACAAATAGCCCTCATACCATGCCACTTGCCAGTCTACGACACCGGCATCAATATGACAAAGTCAGAAGTCGCCAAGATTGCCTTATTATGCATGGCACTTTGTCCTTCCCGGGTAATGAGTTGTATGATATTAACAAGCAACTGTATGGATCTTTACCCAACTGTGACAGCATCTGTATCCACCATTTTGCTTATATCTTCATCAAAGTATACTTTAAGAGGTCGCCATCTATTTAGTTGCTTGTTTGATTTCATCAAAGTCAACCCTGTCAATCCAAGAACCATCCTATGATGTGTCCGAAGAAAAGTAGATATGCATGATTCAGGAGTGGCCGTTGATTGTGTGAGTGAGTTGCCTACATAACTGTAGTCATTAGTGAGTGAGTGAGTGAGTGAGTGAGTTGTCTACATTACTGTTGTCACTAGTGAGTGAGTGAGTGAGTGAGTGAGTGAGGGGCCTACATTACTGTAGCCATTAGTGAGTGAGGGGTCTACATTACTGTAGCCATTATTGAGTGAGTGAGTGAGGGGGCCTATATTACTGTAGCCATTAGTGAGTGAGGGGGCCTACATTACTGTAGCCATTAGTGAGTAAGTGAGTGAGGGGCCTACATTACTGTAGCCATAGTTAGTGAGTGAGTGAGTGAGTGAGGGGGCCTACATTACTGTAGCCATAGTTAGTGAGTGATTGGGCCTACATTACTGTAGCCATTAGTGAGTGAGTGAGTGAGTGAGTGAGTGAGGGGCCTACATTACTGTAGCCATTAGTGAGTGAGTGAGTGAGGGGCCTACATTACTGTAGCCATTAGTGAGTGAGTGAGTGAGGGGCCTACATTACTGTAGCCATTAGTGATTGAGTGAGTGAGTGAGGGGTCTACATTACTGCAGCCATTAGTGAGTGAGGGGGCCTACATTACTGTAGCCATTAGTAAGTGAGTGAGTGAGTGAGTGAGGGGCCTACATTACTGTAGCCATAGTTAGTGAGTGAGTGAGTGAGGGGGCCTACATTACTGTCGCCATATTTAGTGAGTGAGTGAGTGAGTGAGGGGGCCTACATTACTGTAGCCATAGTTAGTGAGTGAGTGAGTGATTGGGCCTTCATTACTGTAGCCATTAGTGAGTGAGTGAGTGAGTGAGGGGCCTACATTACTGTAGCCATTAGTGAGTGAGTGAGTGTCCTACACAACTGTAGCTATTAAACAGGTGCAGACTCCCGAGTGAGTGAGTGAGTGAGTATGGTTTTACGCCGCTTTTAGCAATAGTCCAGCAATATCACGGCGGGGAACACCAGAAATGGGCTTCACTCATTGTACCCATGTCGGGAATCGAACCCGGGTCTTCGGTAAGACGAGCTAACGCTTTAACCACTAGGCTACCCGACCGCCCCTCAGACTCCCGACCTTGTGTGGACCACCGGAGGTATTGTGCTATCCCGTTTCGTACATACTACACCACGAGGCAACTCAAAGTGAAACAAGGCGGGTCTTGTTTCCATGCAGTTCCAAGTTGATTCGCCTGCTCTTGTGAAAATGGATATTTTAACCACACTGAGAAGAAAATGTCAACTTGCAACATGAATATTTAGATGTTGTCCAATAACGAATTCAATTCTATGAAACAGAAAAATGATGGATCAGCTCTTCTGTAAAATACAAACTTAAATTATCCTTGATAACGGTACCTGTGAAAGGTATGAGCCAAGAAGTCCATTTGTGACATCATCAACTACAAATGTACATCTTGATTGCCACACTGTTAGTGTTACCATTGTCGACTCCTTCTTGTTACGTCCAGGCCAATCACTTGACCTTCACTGTAATTGGCTTCTCTCCTGTATTAGTGAGTGAGTGTTAGTGTTACCATTGTCGACTCCTTCTTGTTACGTCCAGGCCAATCACTAGACCTTCACTGTAATTGGCTTCTCTCCTGTATTAGTGAGTGAGTGTTAGTGTTACCATTGTCGGCTCCTTCTTGTTACGTCCAGGCCAATCACTAGACCTTCACTGTAATTGGCTTCTCTCCTGTATTAGTGAGTGAGTGTTAGTGTTACCATTGTCGGCTCCTTCTTGTTACGTCCAGGCCAATCACTAGACCTTCACTGTAATTGGCTTCTCTCCTGTATTAGTGAGTGAGTGTTAGTGTTACCATTGTCGGCTCCTTCTTGTTACGTCCAGGCCAATCACTAGACCTTCACTGTAATTGACTTCTCTCCTGTATTAGTGAGTGAGTGAGTGTTAGTGTTACCATTGTCGACTCCTTCTTGTTACGTCCAGGCCAATCACTAGACCTTCACTGTGATTGGCTTCTCTCCTGTATTAGTGAGTGAGTGTTAGTGTTACCATTGTCGGCTCCTTCTTGTTACGTCAAGGCCAATCACTAGACCTTCACTGTGATTGGCTTCTCTCCTGTATTAGTGAGTGAGTGTTAGTGTTACCATTGTCGGCTCCTTCGTGTTACGTCCAGGCCAATCACTAGACCTTCACTGTAATTGGCTTCTCTCCTGTATTAGCGAGTGAGTGTTAGTGTTACCATTGTCGGCTCCTTCTTGTTACGTCCAGGCCAATCACTAGACCTTCACTGTAATTGGCTTCTCTCCTGTATTAGTGAGTGAGTGAGTGTTAGTGTTTCCATTGTCGGCTCCGTCTTGTTACGTCCAGGCCAATCACTAGACCTTCACTGTAATTGGCTTCTCTCCTGTATTAGCGAGTGAGTGTTACTGTTACCATTGTCGGCTCCTTCTTGTTACGTCCAGGCCAATCACTAGACCTTCACTGTAATTGGCTTCTCTCCTGTATTAGTGAGTGAGTGTTAGTGTTACCATTGTCGGCTCCTAATTGTTACGTCCAGGCCAGTCACTAGACCTTCACTGTAATTGGCTTCTCTCCTGTATTAGTGAGTGAGTGTTAGTGTTACCATTGTCGGCTCCTTCTTGTTACGTCCAGGCCAATCACTAGACCTTCACTGTAATTGGCTTCTCTCCTGTATTAGTGAGTGAGTGTTAGTGTTACCATTGTCGGCTCCTTCTTGTTACGTCCAGGCCAATCACTAGACCTCCACTGTAATTGGCTTCTCTCCTGTATTAGTGAGTGAGTGTAAGTGTTACCATTGTCGGCTCCTTCTTGTTACGTCCAGGCCAATCACTAGACCTTCACTGTAATTGGCTTTTCTCCTGTAAACATCATTGGCGTCGTCATTATATTGTTATTTGTGTACATTTATCCCACCTTGTGTAAACGTATCGTCATGTATATATATTAACTCCATGTAGTTACTCAGCATTCACCCGATGAAGGGACAAGAAGTAGCTCTGAAACGTCGTCACAAAGAATAATGTTATCCATAAAAAGTCTCCTGTGTTCATATTCTTTCAACTTCAAACAACTTCAAAACTTCCCCGATGTCCTGAACTCCTTCTTTTGTGCTGCACTTATTGAAGCAGCCACATGGCAGATTGGATATGTACATAGGCCTCAAGTATGTAATGCCACTTTGACCAACGCCTGCACTGTTTCTTGTACATTAAACTACGGTTATAACGAACCCAAAGGGACCACCAGTTTTAGTTCGTTATAACCGTAGTTCGTTATAAGCATATATACAGCATATATACAGCAAATGTACGGGACCCCAAAAACAGTTCGTTATATCCACCGGTTCGTTATAAGCGTGTTCGTTATAAACGTAGTTTACTGTATGTAGATTTATGTATGTAAGTTTAGAAATGCAAAATGTCTAACCAAAGTTAGATTTAAAGACCAGCCCACACATGGCTAATACATAGGAATATGTAACCAATGACCAGAAAGCCGTTTCCCTTTGGTTTTAACTAGTCCCTATGTATATATTTCTGTATACGACCCCCAGTGTATTATTCAAGTCTCATTGTGTCATGTGACCGGGTGTGGACAGAGTGACTCGTGCAACATACATCTGTCATTCACAGACAAACAGTCTGTACAGCATTGTTTACACCCAAGGAAACTCTCGTCAAGTCACTTGTAAAACATTGCTTCAGAAACACTGAATTATCCTAGCTGGTTTGAAGAACGAAGCAGTGCAATATTTTCAGCTTCTGAATCCTGCATTGTCTCTACACACCTACCCCAGCACTAAGAGGCTACGTACACGTGACATCACAGACATATAAAAAACATTTCAGGAGAAAATGTATACTCGTATATCGTACTTGGTCCGAATTAATAACAGTTATATTTTCACTATGTGAACTAAGTGGGGTACATGGAATGTTTTAGTCTGACTTGGGTGTTGGTATATTGTGGCACAAATAGGGTGTTGCCCTTTCTTTAGCTGTAATACGGAAAACACAACACGAACATGCTCATATGCAAAATGACTTGATGGCATTATGAATTGTACAACTACAACTTTGCTGAGGATGAAGATTTGATGATATAACAAAACATCCAACAAATAAAGTGTGTTTTGTGTTTGCTGTTTAACGATGACTCAGAATATTCGAGCTATATGAGGGAAGTTTGTAAATAATCGAGTCTGGACCAGACAGTCCAGTGATTGACATCATGAACATTTATCTACTCAACTGGGATAAGATGTCATGCGGACCTTGTTACTGTAACATGAACACGTGCCGCTAAAAATACAACTAGTGTGTGATAAGCAACATAACGCCTTGTCTTATGACATTTTTATTGGAGTTGTAAATCATATTTTAAGGAAAGGGACGTGAGTGACGTATTGACAGGTCATACTTTGAGAAAGGGAGGAGCTAGTTGGGTGTTTGAAATTGGGTTTACCGGGCGGCAGATCCAAGATTTTAGATGCAGGAGGAGTAATGTATATCGTCGTTATATTCAAAGATATACCTAACGCAAGCTATTGGCAATGGAAGCATTTGGAGCTTCTCTGCCGAAGGATTAGATTCCTGTTAATATTCGGCGTTGGTACCTTTTATAGATGGGCTTCTTTCCTATGGGTATGTTATCATATTCCAATGGGTATGAAAAAGGCGACTAATGGGATCGGGTGGTCAGGCTCGCTGACTTGGTTCGTTGTTGTTGAATAAGCCCTGGGATGTTGAGAGATTTCAATATTTATTCGTGAAACTTGTTCCCGCAGTACATTAACTCGCGCTTTGGGCTTACACAATGTGTGATGCAGCTGTATGTTTATTAAACCAATGATCTCTTCAACGGGTGATCTGGCAAGTAATAAAGATCAGTACGCACTCATGAGGTCAACCTTTGCGAGGAAACTGCCTGGGGTGATCAACTTTTAGTGTCCCTCAAGTCGGCAAGACATCATCTGCAACACAGAAATCAACTTAGCCAGAGCTCCTGCACATTCTTCGACTGAACTGTACACAATCAGTCTCTATGTGGGCTATAAAGCCTCACGTTATACCACACTTTCGTTAGGCAACACACTGCCGAACTGAAGGTTTGAAATATCTTAGGGCTCTTTGCTGCAGCAAAAGGTAGCTTTTTATGCTACAAGTACAGGTAGTACAGCACAACTCTGATCATGGTTACTTGGGTGCAGTCGTATTGATCTGAACCACCCTTGAAATCAACCTTTGCGAGGAAACTACCTGGGTGATCCACTTTTTACCTTCCTTTAAGTCCAAGTATGAGCACTCACACTTTACCATGTAATAATTCATATCTTTTCCCGCGGAAACTCTCATCGTGGAGTGAGTCTTATCTTGCTGTCAGTCTTCGGGATAGCACCAAACACACTAGCAACTCTAGGTTTAGATGTGGCAATCCCATAATTCCCTAACATTAATACTTCCTTTATCTGCAGTTCTGTTTGCTTCCGGTTTAAACATGCCGACCTATGATTCTTTGTTTCTCTGTACTGTCATAGGCCAGTATACCTCCCCATACGTATTTCGATGCAAGGTAACTGACATCTAGGATGTCATTCAGACAGTTCAGTATTCCAGATATATCCACTCCTTTGTCAGTAATCATCTTTCATGACGCCTATACTGGCGTAAGTCCACATCTCTAATGTGGAGTTATCACAGTCCCCTTTTGAACTACCAAGGTCAAGTTTATACCATCCCCGGAATCGAGAAACTTCGCCTCCAGGCCTTGTGCTAACGATTCTATTCACTCATAATTTTCAGCTTTCTAACGTTTGCCTTACCTTGGATAGCACAAGTCTTTCCTTTGATAGGTAATTTGGGCAGCGATTTTCCCCGGGAGGCTACTGGCTACAAATCATCATCAATCGCACTCTTCCTCAACGCTTCTATGATTTCAGGCATCTTTGTCCCTGCCGCCTTCTCTCTGATTTTGTTTCAGCTCCCCTGACATCTTAGAGTCCTTTTCATATTCCGCGGCCAAATTACTTGTAACATGGATATTGTTTGTTTGTTTGTTATTTAACGCCGCACTCAGCAGTATTCCAGCTATATGACGGCGGTCTGTAAATAATCGAGTCTGGAAAAGACAATCCAGTGATTGACATTATGAGCATCGATCCACGCAATGTGGATACGATGACATGCATCAACAAAGTCACCGAGCCTGACCACCCGATCCCGTTAGTCGCCTACGGCAAGCATGGGTTTCTGAACACCTATTCTAAAAAAAAAAACCCGGATATTGAGTGAGTAGGTTTTACACTGCTTTTTGTAATATTCCATCAATATCACGGCGGGGGACACCAGAAATGATTTTTGTTTGTTTGTTGTTTAACGCCGCACTCTGCAATATTCCAGCTATATGACGGCGGTCTGTAAATAAGCGTCACACATTATACCCATGTTGGGAATCTTTGACGTGACGAGCGAACGCTTTTACCACCAGACTATCCCACCGCCCTAAAACGGAAAGACCTCCCAAGGGTCATGAGCGGCAACCAAGCTCAATATGGAATATCATGGTCTAAGGGGGACAACTCCTCCCTGCGTCTAATTCATTCTCTCGAAAACTACACCTTGTATCAGTTCACGTTTGATTGAAACAACAAAAGAGATTGCACACATTATTTCAGATACATGACTAATGGTCAAACAGAGAAAGAATCTCTTGCATCCTGGAGTTTTGGCTTGATTGTACAGATCTGAAGAGAGTCGCACAAAGTTGCTTCTATTGAGATACAAGTACATACCTGCACATACCAGATCTTGTGATCTATCTCACATGACAAGAGGCGGGCGGTTGTAGTTATTCCAGGAACCAGAAAGAGAGGCGACTTCAGGGAAGAGAGCTCCACGTTGTAATAGAGGTATATCACATATTTAGACGCCATTGCACATACACACGTATAGATTTTACATTATGTGACAGTACATGGTTGTGTTACCTATGTTTTAATGTATACACGCAAGGGCAGAGGTTTGACTTTAACACAGAAAGTAGACTTGACATTGACATATCCAGCAGGTGTCCACCATGATTACATCCATATAGTTCTGTACGATGTCAGTTAGCAGCTGAATCGTCATCGCTGATGAAAGGCAACACACGCAAGATTACTGTTATCAAAATCAATTAACACGGAGCTAGGCAGACAGATTTTCGACTGCTTTTATCTGAGGTCATAGTACAAGTAGTTACCGGTTATAACGAAAGGTAATTAGCTGAAACGTCTGCTGGTGTCCACCCACCTACCCGGCACATTAGCATACTCGGGTCATTTGATTTGCTGCCTAAGTGAAGATTGCGTTTTATGTACATTAACATGCGTGCTGGAAACACCACATGAACGATAGGTAAGTTCTTCGGGTCGGGGGCGGTGTTGTGGCGATGACAAGGTTGGATCAGAGTTATGTCCCTTTAAGCATCATCGGCTTGCATGTATGTTTAATATCAGTCATATGACAGTATACGCCTGTATGATTTTGTCTGTTGTGTGTGTGTGATGTGTGGTGTGTGTGTATTTGAGTGTGGGTGCGTGCGTGCGTGCGTGCGTGCGTGTGCGTGTGTGTGGACAATCCGTACCGGTCATGAAGACAACGAAGACTTTAAGTTTTTACTCACCCATGAAGTAAACGTTTGTTGCCTGACGATGCACAGCAGAAGCGAACACCTGGTGTCGACACTGATTTCCAGTTATCTATTCACATAATTTTCACCACTGTTTTTGCCTTAGATGGAATGCGCTTCGGCAGATACTGATTATTCTTTGGTGTTGTCGATTTTTATTTAATCTTAACGTAGTACTTCACAGAGGAGAGTGTGTATCCCCAAACAAGCCAATATTTAAACCACGTGTCTACTCGCCGTCTTGACCTGGTAAGGTCACGTGAAAAAGTTGCGGGGTGACGGGCAACCAGGACGTAAAGTATTGAAGTACGTGCAGTACTCGAGGGAGGTGTTGTGTGTGTTTCAAACCTGATTTACCTTTCACTACAAGAAGCTGAAACATCAACCTGTGTTTATGGAAATGGGTCCACTGTTGTTCTTGTTTCTGTTTGAAATTAGTCTACTGTAAGATTGTTGAATTAACTCCCTGGATTCGACAGGGACATATATGTCCCTCCTCTACAACCCTCACTTTGAAGTCCAATAAAATTCAAAATACATCATGCTCACTAATACACTTCACAGTTTTGAATAAGGTGGGAGATTCCCTGTTTTGTGATATCACCCACTGGCATTTAAGGCCAAGCAAAAGTACTAAAAATGACCTCTGAAAATTAGGTACTTCGTAAATGTCGCCATTTTGTACACATTACTAAATCACCACTCACCGCGTTATTTACAGCATGTTTTGAAATCTAAATTTCGGATATTTACTCCGAGAAAGGAATTTCCAAAATAGCATATTAGTGATCACGAGTATCACAATGATCATTCAAAAAAAGGCTCCGATAACCCTAGAATCGTTTAGAATGTTTTGGAAAATACGCAAAAACGAACGCCGAAGTGAACTTTCCGCCATATTGGATAGTGTTTACAAAATCACGTTTCAGGTACACCGGTTATGAGGCGCCTGTAACATCACGAATATTTCAAACTTAGCTGCGATACACACATCCTTGAATTCCTCACACATTTTAGAAATCAAATGAACAATGGTCTTTGTCACCAATACGAAGTGGCTTGATGAAATCAAGCAAAATAAGTAAGGTGTGAAAACGAACGCTGTGCTCTAAAAACTGCACTTGTTTGAAATGTAAACAAAGCAAAATACAGATATTACACAGTGTAGCATTTTCTCCTATTTTGTGCTATCCATTCGTCTATTCGTTCAAGATATTGGCTCAGCACTTTCAGAATATACATGGGAAGAGAATCGTAGGAAGAATTGGGGAATTTAAAATAGATACATTGAAAATATCAAATCATTGCAAAGTTATCGTCCTGTGTGACGCCCAATCTCATTAAAATCAGATCTTTGTTCTCGCTATCGCTAAACAAAGATCTGAGGACATCCCATTAAGGGTTACGTCAGAACGACCTTTCATCCAACCAATCAGAGCGTCGCTTACCAGATCATGAAAGTGACAGTCGGAATGTGTTTTCTAATCACGCAACCACGAAATATTTAACACGGGGTATTCCGAACGACAGTTACGGGTTTTATGATTATATCCATACAATCTAGGCCATCTATAAGCCACTCAAGAGTGTTCTTCTTATCAGTTTTAATTTTTTTAATCGAGAATAAGTCAAAATATGTTTCGAAGCGTAGTCGCCAGTTTGAAACTAGTGTCGTAAAGATCGAGAAAGCTGCCTTCTGATTGGCTAATGTCGATTTCTTGTACGTCATTTCATTGGTCGGTCAAAATTCGCGAAAGGTCGTTCTGACGTGACCTGTAATGGGATGTCCTCAGATCGTTGTTTGGCGGTAGCGAAAACTAAGATATGATTTTAAAGAGATTGGTGTGACGCCATGACTGACGCAAAATCACGCACAACGACAACGGTATTTATCGGAATTTCTGACTATTTCGGTTTGTTTCAATGAAAATTATAACAACAAATAACAGTACATGGATTGTCAGAAAGTGTCTGATTACTTACATGTCACATTTATGTATATACGATCCCTGAATCAACGAAAGTCCCCTCGTAAAATCCCGCGTACTGTTGACAGTGAACACGCCATTTTGTAAGGGTCGGTCACCGGTAGTGATGTCATACGTCAACATTGTTGTACATATTTGGTAATTTCTTTGAGGTTTAGGTCCTTGAATTAGATTGCACACGATCATTGTACCATGCTGTTTACAGTTTCAGTTATGATGTAGATTTTAAATATCTTTTATAATTTTTTCACACAATTAATGTCACTTTGGACATTTGTCAATGTTCAAAATGATATCATAAATATAGGCCACAACATGTATGAACGAACCTTTGATAATCTCCTGTTTGTTTGAACATTGTTTACATAACAATTGATAGGTTTTTAGTGTCGAATACGATATTTCTTTCCTTTGGACGAGTGTTACAAGATGAAGTGTAAATGTAACTGCAGCATGTATGCATTTCTTGGGATGTGCAATAGTCAATATTATAAGTTCATATTATCAATGTCCATGAATAGCCGTTTCATTTTATTTTATACCTAAAACTGAATATATTATTTCACAAAATGGATAATATTTTTTCGGTAAATATATGGACACATTTCTGAAAGTAGTGTCTTTGCAATTGTTTTTTGTGTCGTTTGATACACAGAATGATATCTAATGATTCGCCAGGTGCGCGTTAGTCACAAACAATTTACGAATTATTCCTCTCGTTTTGCATTATATAATCAATGGGTTCATTATTTTTTCAATATTGTGATCACAGGATATTAAACTGTTTACTTAATTTCTCCAGGAATTGTAAAATGTATAAAATACAATCCATGCCAGGTACCCTGTTGGTTCAACCTTATACGATTATCCTGATAATTCTATACCAATAGAGCTTTCTTCGCATCTTTTTATTGTGTAAAATGAAGAGAGATAATAACATAATAATGAACAAATATATGTCGAATATTGAATATAATTTTGGTTGTTTTGAAATATTATTATGGGTATTTCATAACGTAAATTGATGCCAAACAGGTGCGTGTCTTGGCTAATTAAGATACACGATAAACTATCTAATTGTTTACATATTCAAAACATTATTTACTTGGTGAAAGCAGTAATTTTATGTTGTGTAGAAAAAGCGTCAAATTCCGTTTTATAGATCGATATTTTTCATACCATGAACGAAAATTAGGGGAGATATATATTAATCAAAATACCAGTGTCGTCTTTCTCCGACGTTATCAAAGACATAAAACGAGCCATGATGTCAAAAGGAATGGTGTTATTTTTGGGGTATTTCATTACATTTGATGACAAGTCTAGTGCTCCATTAATAATGGTGCAACATTAGTCATATTACTCTTACACAAACAGGAGAATGTTGGAATCTAAGGATTAAGGTATAGGTTAGATAGGGCCATCCATTTCTCTATTACCTCTTTTTTATGAAGTACGATTTCATCATTTCTTATGGGCGTTTTTAATAACTAAACGTATACAGTTTCAATATGGATATTTGTGTTGGAATAGTTTGGTTCCTCGTGAACGAAACGCCACGAAAATATATTGTCCTTACCCACAGCTAATTCTCACCAATTGACCTGAGTTACAACAAACTAGTGCTAAGCATAGCGGAGTTATGCCCCCTTTTCCCTGTACGTGTGTAACCTCTCAGTCGCCTTTTGACATCATAGAGAAAAATCAGTTTTCGTCATTTACGGCATGCTATTTTTAACATTGAGTGTATGTCGTTATACATACGCCTATAACTCTATTTGATATATTGTTATGTCGTTCACATATTAGACAGTATTTTGTTCGCTGACAGTTTCGGTAAATCTTCGAAATGAAAAAAATTGTCGCACAGTACTTTTATCGGTATACGATAAAAGGCGGAGAAATTGACTGTTTTTCAACGCAGAATAAATTCTCGGACAACACTTAAAAGTGTATTTTTTTAAAACCGGTTTAATATTTGCAGGTTACTTTACACAATCAAATAGGAAATTTAACATTCTCCACCTCTGCGTAATTTTATAGCCATAGGTAGATCCAGTGCCGCGTGAGCGCAATTCTCGCACAACCTTCACTTTTCCGATCTTAGGAAAATGTGCGTCATAAAAAAAACTCGGCATCCAGAGTTTCGTTGTATGAAACTAATTTTAATATCCATGTGCATTAATTCTTGTGTCATGTGTTTGAAAAACATGGCATACATCTCCACTTCATGGACTGTACATATTCATTACTTAGGGGAAAACGTGAAATAGTATCATGATACTGTGTTGTATTTGAGGTTCAGGGCAACTTACGTAAAACATAAGAGTCATAATGTTCCACAGATATACATGCAATGGGGCGCCGTGTTGTCACGTAAACTCCCGTCTCACTGTCTTGTAATGATGTCACGTGTTTGGACGTTGGGGATGATGCATTCATGTACATGTTGTATGATTCTGTCTATAACATGTGCCTATATACTTCACTAAACTATCAGTTTGGCTTCAGATGGCGACCGCTAAGACTCTGACAGAGAACCACTTCACCTGTGTCATCTGTTCTGAGGTGTTCACAGACCCAGCCACACTTCAGTGTCATCATACATTCTGCAAGTCCTGTCTGCTGAAATACACCTACACACAGCCGGAAGCAGCACAAGCCAGGTCCATCCCATGTCCCTCCTGTAGACAACTGACGAATGTGACCAACCCTGACAGTCCAGTAGAGGAGTGGGTCAGTCAGCTGAAACCAAGCCATGTCATACAGGGGCTGATGGACGACTTTGGACCCGACACAAAGGGTAATCAGCGTATAATTCTACTGCCGGACTAATATACCTTTTTGAAAGGTTTGAAAACAACCACACACGTGTGCATAGATGAGCATTCACTCATAGAATTGCTTATTATGACTTCATGTTAATAGATTTTGATGCAGGATAAATATTTCTTTCTCGCAAAGGCAAATAAATTACATTCTATTTGCGACAAAGAGCTTCCTGTAAACTCAAATACCTATTGCAATAATTTTATGAAATCAACATAAATTTTATGTCCTACCCCTACCACGTCGTCATTCCTTTTTATTATATTATTGTCAGTTATTAAAACAATTTGTATGACAAGCTAGCATGAAATGTGGGGTTGATCTTTGTCGCCCTCCACTGTGACATGCCACCGCTAGCATATAAATATCACAATTTGTGTCTGCTTATCCTGAATAGGGAATACAATACATGTAACATCTAGGAAATGGATGTGTTGACAGAACTGTGGGGTTGATCTTAGTCGCCCTCTACTGTGACATGCCACATCTGGGACGGGATGTGTTGACAGAACTGTGGGGTTGATCTTAGTCTCCCTCCACTGTGACATGCCACAGCTTGGACGGGTTGTGTTGACAAAACTGTGGGGTTGATCTTAGTCGCCCTCCACTGTGACATGCCACATCTAGGACGGGATGTGTTGACAGAACTGTGGGGTTGATCTTTGTCGCCCTCCACTGTGACATGCCACAGCTAGCACAGGGATGTGTTGAAATAACTGTGGGGGTGATCTTAGTCGCCTTCCACTGTGACATGCCACAGCTAGCACAGGGATGTGTTGACAGAACTGTGGGGTTGAACTTAGTCGCCCTCCACTGTGACATGCCACAGTTAGCACAGGGATGTGTTGACAGAACTGTGGGGTTGATCTTTGTCGCCTTCCACTGTGACACGCCACAGTTAGCTCAGGGATGTGTTGACAGAACTGTGGGGTTGATCTTAGTCGCCCTCCACTGTGACATGCCACAGCTACGACAGGGATGTGTTGACATAACTGTGGGGTTGATCTTAGTCGCCCTCCTCTGTGACATGCCACAGGTAGGACAGGATGTGTTGACAGAACTGTGGGGTTGATCTTTGTCGCCCTCCACTATGACATGCCACAGCTAGGACGGGATGTGTTGACAGAACTGTGGGCTTGATCTTAGTTACAGGTAATCCTACTGGATGTGCCATGGCCCTACATTGTTACAAAGCATGTTAAATGAAAAAGTTTATGTTCAGTTCAGTCTCCCATCTATAAAGACGCTATAACGCCCGCAGTTTCTAATATGAATCTGTTATTGTATATCTTGTCAGCAAATAATAATCTTGTGGTTATGATTACCTGTAGGTCATGATTGACTAGGGAGTGCTACATTGTGAGACAGCATCATTGTTTCATTACAACCTGTGTCATATGATATGTTCATCTCCAGAAAGGGCGTGGCCGTTTGTGACAAAACTAATGTGTTACCTGTTATTATTTCTTTAGATGGTGTGCGATTCTTATCATGCTTTTTGACAAATGAAATTAAGCACACTTGTTTTTGTAGGTGTGGAGGAACACTTGTGCAGTGTTTGTACAAAACAAGGAAAGACAACTCCAGCCACTTCTTGGTGCTCTGTCTGCGATGTTGTGTACTGTGAAGGATGTCTCCAGTTGCACAACATGATGCCATTGTTGTGTGACCATGAAGTAGCTCACTTGTCTGATAACACAAAAACAAAGGTCAAGCGTCGCTTTATGTGTCAAGTCCACAGAGATGAAAAGGTGAATTTGTTCTGTAAAGACTGCAAGCAGGCAATATGCACGATATGCTGCAGTATAAAACACAGGGCATGTAAGGATGTTGATACAATAGAGAGTATGACCCCTCTTGTGAAGGAACAACTGACAAACAAAATAGAGCAGCTCAGAATCAACATGGCAGCTACTAATAATAACATAACCTGGAGAAAATCTAGAATTCAACATGTGATGAGTAATTCCCAGGACATTAAAGATCAAGTCATGAAGACACGGGAAACAGTGATGTGTGCTATTTTAAGAAAAGAGAAGCAACTCCTTGATGCCATCGACAAAGCTACTGATGAACAATTACGTGAGTTAAAAGCAGATATAAAATCCCAGGAGATCGAGCTACAGATGTACCAGCAGCAGTATGAGTTCACAGCCAATGCTGTGACGTCCAACTGTGAGATGGACATGTATGCTGTCTATGAGTCGACGGGTGAGACTTCTACACAGAACAGAGACACGGACAACAGGCCAGCAGCAGGAAGGGTTGTATTGACACACGACCTGGACAAGCTGAGTAAAGCAGTTGATGAGCTACAGCTGGGGGAGGTTCAAGTCGTCCATGGAGTGAGTGATCCCGAGTCTTCTCCTGTTCTACATCACACCACTGACTGCAAGGAAGATGGGGACCGGAAGAATCCTAGTTTGTATGACTTCACAGTGTTGACTGCTGATGGCGTGAAAGTGATGGTAGTTGCAGATTATGATAACAAGAGACTCAAAACATATTACACATCAAACTTCAAATCCTTTCATAATCAGCTCCTGTTATCTAATGGTCCTTGGCAAATAGCCAAGTTAAGTGAGAGTCAGATAGCTGTCAGCGTTCCAGACAGTAAGGAAATAGTTACAGTTAATGTTACCCCAGATCCTGTATTACTGTCAACTATCAAAACAAGGAAGGAGTACTGGACTCTAGCCTGTCTGAGTCCTTCACAGCTGGCGGCAGGTACATATAGACAGCCTCACTCTGTGGACATACTGGAAATGAGAGGGAGGATACTGAGGTCTATCAACACGGGGGTGATAAGGAGTCCAGAATATATGCATGTCACCAGAAACAACAACTTGCTAGTCAGTGAAAGAGACGTAAAATCCCTTGTATGTGTGACCAGTGAAGGATACGCTGTTTTCACCTACACTCCCACAGGAGTCAGAGCTCTGACACGACCTCGGGGTGTTACAACAACCAGCACAGGAGATATCCTGCTTGTAGACAGACGCTCCCACAAGGTGATTCAGCTGACAGAGTCGGGGCAGTTTGTCAGAGATGTCCTCACACAACAGGATGGTCTGAAATATCCTGATGGTGTCTGTCTTGATGCTGACGGCCTGCTGTATGTTACGTCTGGGAGATATGTAAAAGTATTCAAATTCTGCCGGCGCTGAATGTGGAAATAGAAATAACTTTGATCTCCAAACACAGTTGAATATTTCAAAAGTTGAATGCTGCTTTAGGTCCAGATCGGATCCAGTTCTTCCCTTACACACGTAGTCCATCATGTCATTGATTAAATACAGGACGACCTAGCACCAGTAGTAGTCTGACCTGATAGAAGTACTTCTCAAGTAGACCTAGCACCAGTAGGAGTCTGACCTGATAGAAGTACTTCTCAAGTACATTTGTGAAAGGACGCACAATAACAGCACTGAATGAGGACAACACTACACGAGAGATCACGTGACCTAGACAGATGATATTTGACAGTACTGTTGTTTCATGTTGTTTATAGAACAGTATTGTTGTTTGATGTTGTTCATAGAACAGTAATGTTGCGTTGTGTAGTGTACTATATATCTGACGTGTGTTGTCATGGAGAAACATGTTCACATAATTGCGCATGCTATCGGCCTTTAGATTATCAGTTCGACAGCCCATCTCCTAATGTTTTAAAGGGGCGCTTAACTCTAATAAAACACCACTAGCGTTCGGTGATCTACAGCGGATATAATAATGTGTGGATGCTGTGAGAACTCGTTGAGTTCTGTAAATGTACTAATTTGTATCAGTTATTTCTACTATCTGTTGTGTTGAGTAGAGTATAATAGTAATAACATTTATACTAAATGATTATACATATATGTTTAAATAGTCTTTACATATACTAGTATATAATCAATTTGCCTTTATTGCATATTCAGGAAACTAGGATATCAGCTAAGTAAGGATGGATGAACAACTTCTATATTACTTCGTACCCCAACTTCTAAATGCCTCTCAAAGACGTCATGATATCAGCTGACGATTTTGCATTTTGTCAGAAACAAGTGTTAGCAAGTTGTATTGAACCTGTCACAAGAGCGGAGTTAACAGGACACACAACAAAATTCAAGCAAGACTATGTCATCAACTTATATTTTGTCATTTAATCTTTATATTTCTAATAACATGACATGTTATAGGTATGGAGATAGAAATGTTTTTCACACTATGAATGAGTGACATATTTCATCCATCCTTGTGTATTCCAATAGTTCGTGATACATTTGTAACTGCTAAACGTGTTGAGCTCTGTATATAATAGTCAAATGGACAGTAAAACATTTTCAAGGGTAGAAGTTGCAAATTTTTTGTCATTTCACACTTTTTGACTGGTTGTCAATCATGTTGTTAGATTGACAGGTGGCGATAGGTTAATTGATAGAAATACTAATATCACTTCTGTGGCTAATTTAATTGATTGGATAATTTGCCTTGATCTATATCCGTATGTCATTTGTATTAATAAAACTACTTTATTTTACTTTTCTGGAAACAAGAATAGTTCAGTGTTTGAAACAGAATGTATCAATAAAAACACAGATGCTTTTATCAAAGCTCTAAGGTATATTCATGTTTTACTCATTCAGTGTACCAACAAATAGCCCTCATACCATGCCACTTGCCAGTCTATGACACCGGCATCGATATGACAAAGTCAGAGGTCGCCAAGATTGCCTTATTATGCATGACACTTTGTCCTTCCCGGGTAATCAGTTGTATGATATTAACAAGCAACTGTATGGATCTTTACCCCACTGTGACAGCATCTGTATCCACCATTTTGCTTATATCTTCATCAAAGTATACTTTAAGAGGTCGCCATCTATTTAGTTGCTTGTTTGATTTCATCAAAGTCAACCCTGTCAATCCAAAAAACATCCTATGATGTGTCCGAAGAAAAGTAGATATGCATGATTCACGAGTGGTCGTTGTTTGTGCGAGTGAGTTGCCTACATTACTGTAGTCATTAGTGAGTGAGTGAGTGAGTGAGTGAGTAAGTGAGAGGCCTACATTACTTTTGCCATTAGTGAGTGAGTGAGTGAGTGAGTGAGTGAGTGAGTGAGTGAGTGAGTGAGGGGCCTACATTACTGTAGCCATTAGTGAGTAAGTGAGGGATTGAGGGGCCAACATTACTGTAGCCATTAGTGAGTGAGTCGGTGAGGGGCCTACATTACTGTAGCCTTTAGTGAGTGAGTGAGAGAGGGGCGAATATTACTGTAGCCTCTAGTCAGTGAGTGAGTGAGTGAGTAAAGGGCCTACATTACTGTAGCCATTAGTGAGTGAGTGAGTGGGTGAAGGGCCTACATTATTGTAGCCTTTAGTGAGTGAGTAAATGAGGGGCCAACATTACTGTAGCCATTAGTGACTGAGTAAGTGAGTGAGGGGCCAACATTACTGTAGCCATTAGTGAGTGAATGAGTGAGGGGCCAACATTACTGTAGCCATTAGTGAGTGAATGAGTGAGGGGCCAACATTACTGTAGCCTTTAGTGAGTTAGTGAGTGAGGGGCCTACATTACTCTAGCCTTAAGTGAGTGAGTGAGTGAGGGGAGCTACATTACTGAAGCCCTTAGTGAGTGAGTGAGTGAGTGAGGGGCCTACATTACTGAAGCCATTAGTGAGTGAGAGAGTGAGTGAGGGCCCATATTACTGTAGCCATTAGTGAGTGAGTGAGTGAGTGAGTAGGTGAGGGGCCTACATTACTGTAGCCATTAGTGAGTGAGTTAGTGAGTGGCCAATATTACTGTAGCCTTTAGTGAGTTAGTGAATGAGTGAGGGGCCTACATTACTGTAGCCTATTAGTGAGTGAGTGAGTAAGTGAGTGAGGATCCTATATTACTGTAGCCATTAGTGAGTGAGTGAGTGAGGGCCTATATTACTGAAGCTATTACTGAGTGAGTGAGTTGGTGAGGGGCCTACATTACTGTAGCCATTAGTGAGTGAGTGAGTGAGTGGGTGAGGGGCCTACATTATTGTAGCCTTTAGTGAGTGAGTTAATGAGGGGCCAACATTACTGTAGCCATTAGTGACTGAGTGAGTGAGTGAGTGAGGGGCCAACATTACTGTAGCCATTAGTGAGTGAGTGAGTGAGTGAGGGGCCAACTTTACTGTAGCCATTAGTGAGTGACTAAGGGGCCTTCTCTGAGTCAGTGAGTGAGTGAGTGAGCGAGTGAGTGAGTGGCCTACATTACTAAAGCCATTAGTGAGTGAGTGAGTGAGTAAGGGGCCTACATTATTTTAGCTATAAGTGAGTGAGTGAATGAGGGGGCTTCATTACTGAAGCCCTTCGTGAGTGAGTGAGTGAGTGAGTGAGGGGCCTACATCACTGTAGCCATTAGTGAGTGAGTGAGTGAGTGAGTGAGTGAGGGGCCTACATAACTGAAGCTATTAGTGAGTGAGTGAGTGAGGGGCTACATTACTGTAGCCATTAGTGAGTGAGTGGGTGAATGAGGGTCCTACATTACTGTAGCAATTAGTGAGTGAGTGAGTGAGTGAGGGGCCTACAGTACTGCAGACATTAGTGAGTGAGTGAGTGAGGGGCCTACAGTACTGTAGCCATTAGTGAGTGAGTGAGTGAGTGAGGGGCCTACATTACTGTAGTCATTAAACAGGTTCAGACTCCCGACCTTGTGTGGACCACCGGAGGTATTGTGCTATCCCGTTTCGTACGTACTACGCCACGAGGCAACTCAAAGTGAAACAAGGTGGGTCTTGTTCCATGCAGTTCCAAGTTGATTCGCCTGCTCTTGTGAAAATGGATATTTTAACCACACTGAGAAGAAAATGTCAACTTGCAACATGAATATTTAGATGTTGTCCAATAACGATTTCAATTCTCTGAAACAGAAAAATGATGGATCAGCTCTTCAGTAAAACACAAACTTAAATTATCCTTGATAACGGTACCTGTGAAAGGTATGAGTCAAGAAGTCCATTTGTGACATCATCAACTACAAATGTACATCTTGATTTCCACACTGTTAGTGTTACCATTGTCGGCTCCTTCTTGTTACGTCCAGGCCAATCACTAGACCTTCACTGTAATTGGCTTCTCTCCTGTTTTAGTGAGTGAGTGTTAGTGTTACCATTGTCGGCTCCTTCTTGTTACGTCCAGGCCAATCACTAGACCTTCACTGTAATTGGCTTCTCTCCTGTATTAGTGAGTGAGTGTTAGTGTTACCATTGTCGGCTCCTTCTTGTTACGTCCAGGCCAATCACTAGACCTTCACTGTAATTGGCTTCTCTGCTGTATTAGTGAGTGAGTGTTAGTGTTACCATTGTCGGCTCCGTCTTGTTACGTCCAGGCCAATCACTAGACCTTCACTGTAATTGGCTTCTCTCCTGTATTAGTGAGTGAGTGTTAGTGTTACCATTGTCGGCTACTTCTTGTTACGTCCAGGCCAATCACTAGACCTTCACTGTAATTGGCTTCTCTCCTGTATTAGTGAGTGAGTGTTAGTAATACCATTGTCACTAGACCTTCACTGTAATTGGCTTCTCTCCTGTATTAGTGAGTGAGTGTTAGTGTTACCATTGTCGGCTCCTTCTTGTTACGTCCAGGCCAATCACTAGACCTTCACTGTAATTGGCTTCTCTCCTGTATTAGTGAGTGAGTGTTAGTGTTACCATTGTCGGCTCCTTCTTGTTACGTCCAGGCCAATCACCAGACCTTCACTGTAATTGGCTTCTCTCCTGTATTAGTGAGTGAGTGTTAGTAATACCATTGTCACTAGACCTTCACTGTAATTGGCTTCTCTCCTGTATTAGTGAGTGAGTGTTAGTGTTACCATTGTCGGCTCCGTCTTGTTACGTCCAGGCCAATCACTAGACCTTCACTGTAATTGGCTTCTCTCCTGAATTAGTGAGTGAGTGTTAGTGTTACCATTGTCGGCTCCTTCTTGTTACGTCCAGGCCAATCACTAGACCTTCACTGTAATTGGCTTCTCTCCTGTATTAGTGAGTGAGTGTTAGTGTTACCATTGTCGGCTCCTTCTTGTTACATCCAGGCCAATCACTAGACCTTCACTGTAATTGGCTTCTCTCCTGTTTTAGTGAGTGAGTGTTAGTGTTACCATTGTCGGCTCCTTCTTGTTACATCCAGGCCAATCACTAGACCATCACTGTAATTGGCTTCTCTCCTGTATTAGTGAGTGAGTGTTAGTGTTACCATTGTCGGCTCCTTTTTGTTACATTCAGGCCAATCACTAGACCTTCACTGTAATTGGCTTCTCTCCTGTATTAGTGAGTGAGTGTTAGTGTTACCATTGTCGGCTCCTTCTTGTTACATCCAGGCCAATCACTAGACCTTCACTGTAATTGGCTTCTCTCCTGTATTAGTGAGTGAGTGTTAGTGTTACCATTGTCGGCTCCTTCTTGTTACGCCCAGGCCAATCACTAGACCTTCACTGTAATTGGCTTCTCTCCTGTTTTAGTGAGTGAGTGTTAGTGTTACCATTGTCGGCTCCTTCTTGTTACATCCAGGCCAATCACTAGACCTTCACTGTAATTGGCTTCTCTCCTGTATTAGTGAGTGAGTGTTAGTGTTACCATTGTCGGCTCCTCTTTGTTACATCCAGGCCAATCACTAGACCTTCACTGTAATTGGCTTCTCTGCTGTATTAGTGAGTGTTAGTGTTACCATTGTCGGCTCCGTCTTGTTACGTCCAGGCCAATCACTAGACCTTCACTGTAATTGGCTTCTCTCCTGTATTAGTGAGTGAGTGTTAGTGTTACCATTGTCGGCTTCTTCTTGTTACGTCCAGGCCAATCACTAGACCTTCACTGTAATTGGCTTCTCTCCTGTATTAGTGAGTGAGTGTTAGTGTTACCATTGTCGGCTACTTCTTGTTACGTCCATGCCAATCACTAGACCTTCACTGTAATTGGCTTCTCTCCTGTATTAGTGAGTGAGTGTTAGTAATACCATTGTCACTAGACCTTCACTGTAATTGGCTTCTCTCCTGTATTAGTGAGTGAGTGTTAGTGTTACCATTGTCGGCTCCTTCTTGTTACGTCCAGGCCAATCACTAGACCTTCACTGTAATTGGCTTCTCTGCTGTATTAGTGAGTGAGTGTTAGTGTTACCATTGTCGGCTACTTCTTGTTACGTCCAGGCCAATCACTAGACCTTCACTGTAATTGGCTTCTCTCCTGTATTAGTGAGTGAGTGTTAGTAATACCATTGTCACTAGACCTTCACTGTAATTGGCTTCTCTCCTGTATTAGTGAGTGAGTGTTAGTGTTACCATTGTCGGCTCCGTCTTGTTACGTCCAGGCCAATCACTAGACCTTCACTGTAATTGGCTTCTCTCCTGTATTAGTGAGTAAGTGTTAGTGTTACCATTGTCGACTCCTTCTTGTTACATCCAGGCCAATCACTAGACCTTCACTGTAATAGTGTTACCATTGTCGGCTTCTTCTTGTTACGTCCAGGCCAATCACTAGACCTTCACTGTAATTGACTTCTCTCCTGTATTA